CCGCTGTTTGCCACACCTCCCCACTATGCATGCCATGCTTGCTCTCTTGCCCGCACGGTGCTTTCACCTAATCAAATAAATGATGTCATTTCCCCCCCTGCCCCCCTCATCAGCAGTCTCTCACTTCTAAACACAAATTGTCTTGCATTTGGAGACGGGTGGAAGTAGATATTTGGAAGAATGTAGACGGATTTGTCTGATCCGGACATAGCTGGGTGACAGCCGGGAGGGTGTGTGTGTGGGGGGAGGGGGGGGGGCTTCTGCCTTAGGGCAAGAGAGTGACACACACTCACACACTGCAAGGAGGAGCCAGGACTGTCGTCAGTCACAGACAGGTAGGTAAGAGGCTGCCTGAAACAGAGCGAGCAAGAGAGAACAAGAGAGAGAGCGAGAGAGTTTTTGCGAGTGACAAGAGCCACGGGTTGCTCACACACACTCAAGCTCACCACGCAGCCTCACTTATGTGCGGCTCTTCTCAAGGCTTCACAGTAAGTACCGTCCCATCCTTTTCTGATGACTGCCATTTTTTTTTTTTTTTTTTTGTGGTTCCTTCTTTCCTTTTAAGGTTTTCGCACCAGCGGCGTCTCTTCGTGACATGCACAAGCGAGGTCACAGCTGTGTGCCTTTGACTCATGTCTCGATTTTCTGCGGAGTCACCCGTCGGCATCCACGGTTTCGGAGTGAGCTGTCAGCCTTGTGACACTCATTCCGGGGCGCGCGCATTTTTGGGTGAAAAGTTAACATCTGTCGGCATTTGGTTTGGGGCGTCCGCGTTTTTGTTTTTTGTTTTTTTAATCGGCTTTATTTGAGTAAAATGATGCAAATCGTCTTTATGTTGCCAGGGTTTTCTTTTTTGGGGCGTCTTAAGTTCGACTGTCTCACTTACTTTTGACTTCACTACGTAGCAATCACACTTGCAATATTCGAGTCGAGTATTTGTTGAAACAAAAGCGGGCTACTTTGGTCACAGTCAACTGTTTTGCTATCTGATCACCATCTGAGTGGCAACCAGAGGATGCCTGAGGAGGAAACTGGTATATCCCAGCATTGTTGATTTGTAATCAAAGCTTCTTCTGTCTTCACTGTTTCATCCCATCAGTCGTGGCTTTGCCGGGTGGGTGGGAGAGGGCGCGGGGTGGGGGATTGCGGGTGCCGTAATCAGTCTACGATCTTCATGTGAACTGGAGGGAGAGACAGTACACAAGCGAGGAAGAGAGCACAGAGCCTCTCATTGGGGTTTGAGAGGAAGTCTGCTCCGTTCGGTGAGAACGGCCGGCTGGCTTCCTCGTGAAAGTGGAGTCGCTTGCTGCAGGGCCCGAATGACGCGCGCAGGAACCTCCCTCGCAGCTCCGGGGGTTTGTGACTGGGATTTTCACAGGATGTATGAGGGATGGGGCGGGGGGCAGTGAGCATGAGGGCTCGGCTTTGAAGTTTGTTTGTCCGGTAGTAGCCCAGGCTGGGAAAGTAAGTTGCGGCCGCCTCCTCGCTGTAATTTTTACATCTTGTAAAATGCCCCCCCCCCTGTTGCCTCGCTGTTTCGAGTGACAGTATTTCGAAAACTAGCTGATCATATGATTTTTGATTGGGCACGTTCGAGTTTCCTTGAGCAAGGGCGAGCATATGACAGAGTATGATGCTCGTTTTTGTGGGTCACGTTGAGAAAGTTTATTTTGGTTTTGCTTTGTTGAAAACGCTTCAAAGATGGCACAGCGGCCTACGTTTTGGGATATTCGAACAGCGTTTTTGTATCTTCCTCAGCAAGACGACCACGTTCGTGTTGCTTTTTTTTTTTTTTCTCCCGGAAATTATTCATCAACAAAATATCACATGACATCACAATTGTAGCCACAACAGGGGTCTCGTAGGAAATAACCTTATTCAAAATCTCGCTCTTTCCAGGCCTCGTCCTCTACGTGCCGCACAGTCATGTTAACGTCTGACGGCTCACCGGACAGGACAGAGGTCATGGCGGCTGCCATGGCCGAGTCTGCGGACTCGGACATGACGTCGTGGAGCGAGGCCGACTTTGAGGAGAAGTGCACGTACATCGTAAAGGACCAAGCTCTGGAAGAAGCGTCCAAAAAATGCAGCAGGACACGAGCCGAGGGCTCCTTGCCCAGGAACTTGGCCCTGAAACGCTGCCTGGACTCGGCGCAGGTCAGGAAAGCGTTTTCGTTCGTTTTGCGCTACCTCGCGTCACTCCTGCATCTACGTATTCTTCACCGAAGAGGGAAGAACTTGACACGTCGCTGTCTAATTTCGGCGTTTGCTACGTCGAGGCAAAGCCCGAGACAATTGCAAAGCCCCCTCGGCAAATAGCCCGATGGTCTGTGTGATGAGTAGCTCCCTCGGATTCTCAGTCCTTTTTTGTTCCTAGCGCTCAATTATACCGTAAAGCAAAGTAGAGGCAGCGAGAATCCACCTTTGAGGTCAGCCACATTCGGCGGTTTTATTTGCATGCATGCTGTCAGGTGGTTTATATTTAACCTCATTGCAGGAGATTATGATAGTTAGGCAGACAGTCAAAGATTAACCCCGTGGATGATGCGTGGAACAGGGGTGGGGGTCGGAGGGGAGGCTTTTGTTTTTCGACAAGATCAGAGGTAGCGGTTAAAGATGCTGAAATATTACGGTGACCCCCCTGGAAAGTCTGTCTGGGAAACCATCCGACACCAAAGAGTCGGATTGGTTACAGCGACCCGTGACATAAAAGACCCGCCACGGAGCTGCCTGACATGGGGGCTTGAACGCACGGCTCAAGGTGCCGTTGACGAGAGTCGAGGGAGGATGGGTGGGGGCGGGGGGGTGCCCGTGATAGTTTATCCTCTCTTCCCCACCTCGGAGGCTCGAGAGCGTTGCGTTTCACACCTGGATGCGACAGAACATGAGGAGCGGTGAAATTTTAATGCCTGGAAAGACAATTTTAGTCGGATTAACGTTTGAAATATTCAGCATGCGAAACGGGAGGAGCACAATCCACCACGTAAATGTTTTTCGGTAAGATTGCTCTACCCC